GTGAGTGTGTGATTATCCCCAGGAGTGAGCCAGTGTGTCATTATCACCCGTACTAGCCTTCTTAGCTCAGCAGAGAGAGTCCATCCATAGAAATCATGTTAATGGGGGTCTTAAAGCATTATGTATGCCTCAATACCTGAATAGTATTTAACAAATGATTATATATGTTGAAATTCTGCATGGGTTTTGTTCAGTGAAGTACAATAAACGTATAGACTGGTAGACTAAAGTTGAAATGATGGTGTAGTAGCACTAATTTCTGTTGCAAGTTGTGTACTGACCTGTTAAGCCCTGAGCCTGTTTTTCAGGTCTCAGGCTCGAAAATGACATTCCCAGAACAAATGACTATAACTTCACTTCTAAAAGGGGGAAATTAATCATCTTTTTCTCAAAGCAATGATAAACCTGTGAGTTGGATGTAGAAAGTTCAGAATCAATATAGCATTTTTTTATTTTAAAGTAAATTCAGATTGAACAAAGTAAAACAGATTAAATTATAGTTTCCGTCCAAAAAAAACATTACTTATAGTGAACACCACCCTTGAATGATGAGATGGTAGACTAAAAGCTTTAGGAATCCAAACTATAACATATAATAAGTACCCTGTATCAAGATTGATGCAAAACAAGTGAAATCTGACCTTTTTAGAAAGATTTAGAAGAAAAAAAAACACTTCTGGGGTCATTTGGGTGGATTTACCATATCTCTGGAACCCATTGGTCGATTTTGAACCGTTAGAGCCAATAGAATCGAGGGGAAGTTCCTAAATCCACCTACACGTTACCATTGAGGAGTGAGAGTGATGCGCACGCAGTTTGCCCAAACCGAAAGCTATGTTACGCTCTGAAAACTGAAAACTAGATTTATTGCCATAAATATGGTACGGTGGATTATCAGTAATCATTTCAAAGTGACACAGAGACATTGGATTAACCTTCATAAGCGTTTATATGCGTTTTAATGTCCTTGAACACAACTTTTGATCAGAAAACAGCAAAGGTAAGACGTATTTGCCGTTTTGGCCACGTAAAGTGAAGTTGTGTGTTGTCTTTGCTGGCCTTCGCTGCCGCGAGTTTTGATCGCTCAGTGATGATACTTATACCATTGGAATCTGTGGAATCTCAGCTTTCGTAGATATCTAGGTTGTGCAGATCCGATGAAGTATAAAAGATCGCTAACGTGAGTTCTGTGCTAAGGTGTTAGCATTTTTTCGCTTAGTGCTAATTCAGAGGCTTGGCGTTAGACTTGTGTTTTGTTTTGGTAAAAATGGTTCATATAGCCAGTTAGCTGAGTTTCTTCCCGTTAAGTGGGTATGTTTGTAGCCTTTATGACACATTAATAGGTTGTTAAATGTTAAGAAGCCCTGAGACACAGTTTCGTGAATATTGTTGTGTTTTGCCCCCTCGGGCGGGGGCATAGGGTTTAACAGGTTGGGGTTTTAAAAAGCAGCTTTGTATAACAAGTTTAAATATTAATGCAGTTACTTTACAGTACATGCTAACATTCTGATGCAAAGCAGTGGGGCTGTGAATCTTTCAGTGTCCTTCAGTTCGATTCAAGATCGATTCACTACATTGGTGTGCCAATTTCAGGATCTACTCCGGTCTGCTGTGAGCTTACAAATGCAGTGCGACAATTCATGGCAGGGATGTAGATTAAAATGTGTTTAAGATATAGCATTTTTTTTTTGTGAAGGTTATATCTACTGCAATGATGTAAACATATGGAAAACTCAAGACAAACGCTTATTCCTTAGACACTTATTCCTGCTCAACTTTCACAAATAAACTAATTTGACTTAAAGGTTTGAAGTATTTCTCAATTTTCAATAAATTCAAGAATAGCAACTTCAAGTTATTCAACACAATTCTGTAAAAATAACATTGGTAGCCTAGCTCACTTTTTTTATTTCTCAGAAAATAGTCCATTTCTAAAATAAACTGTACACAAATGACACGAAACATAAAATTGTTGGTCACATGTAGGACCTCTAAAATCACAACTAGTGACATAAGTTATAGAAGTGCATTTTGAAAATGCTCATAATAGAACATACTAGGTGATTGTATAAAATCCATACGACAGAGATATTTCAACATTACAAACAAATGTTAACCTCATGATGCCACTAAAAGAGAAAGGCAAATAATGATTAATGTAAGTAGGATTTATCCTCTGAGGACTATGAATGTCTATACTAAATGTAAAGACAATCCATCCAATAGTTGATGAAATACCAGACTGACAAGCAACTAACATGACTGAAACAATGACAAGACGGGAGCAGCATAGTTAAACAAATGACCAGTTTTGATTAAATGTGTGCACTCTCAGCGAAGCAAAGATAGGATCCTTATTAACATAATAAGCGTCTGAATTTAAATGCTATATAATGAATGAGAAATGCCTGATATGTGAATATAAACTCAGTTGTTAGAAGGTGAATATCTTATTCAACACAGTGTGTCGTGTGTGTCTGTACTGCTGTCTTCCTCTCAGCCCACCTGCTGCTACCACCATGCTGAGTGAATAGGCTCAATCATTACTGCGCTTCTACTGCGCTGTCTGCTGGGTAAAATGAGACAATAGTAAAGATTTTCAACCAGGGGGCCTAAATCATTTACCCAGCATGGAGCAAGTGTGCTGAAATGAGGCTGCTGATAACTCTGTCCTGCAGCAGCAGCAGGTGGTACTGTAACTGGGAAAATCATGGCAGGATACAAGACAGATAAACTCATTACAGTGACATATTGTTTGCGCATGAATAAAACAGTTACAATCATGACTGAAATGTTCCCCTGGTGCTGATCAAAAGGAGATATCTAACTTATTTGGCTGAGGCTGCTGACTGACAAAACAACATATACTTTAAGTGTTACTGTATGAGATAAAACAAAGTGTTTTGTGGATAGGATGTTGGAAAAAATGCGGGTTTGCAGTTATGGACTGACTTAACAACCAAAGTACATTTCCTTAAGCACTTAAGTTGCGGTGCTTGGGTGTTTTCATATTATGTAACTTTAAACCTGTAGTCCACCACAAATATTGTACTTTTTACTACTTTTAATTTGTCTGACAGCTTTAGTTACTTTACAGATTACCATTTGAATACCCTTTTGTCGGATGAAAACCATGTATCTTTGGAGATACATGGTTTTCATCCCAGTGGTCCTTTTTAATGTTCATGATAAACTGAACGATGCTGGAAATTCTCCTACTTCTTAAGCTAAATAAACTATTCAAAATCCATTTGCATCTGCTGGAAAATGCATGGTCATAAAGATGAAAATAGGGATTTATCGTAAAAAGATATGTGGTTCTTACAGGACAGCGTGCTACAAATATAAGAGGATCTTATAGAATATTAATGTTCAAAAGTGTTTAAAATAGGCATTACCGTTACACGGAACAGTAGGGTTGTATGTCAGTGTGTTATCTTACCTCAGAGTATTGTATGATAACTATTTTTTATTTGTTTTATGGCTGTATTTTGGCACCCTATCCAGGTCCAGACCTATTGAAAATGCATCTATTTAACCAAGTCACACCACATTCAGTGTCCAAAGTTCATTTCAGTCTAAACCATTATGTCACATTTTTCAACGTAGGCTATAAACACCAGTGAGCCGTGATTAGTTCCTCTTTCCTTAAAGCTCTATTAATCAATACTTCTCATATTAACACTAATTCAAACGTCTGCATGTAATGTGAAATATAATAGAGAATTGGCACCCAGCTTATTAGCCACTTTAGCTCAATTGACTGTATGATTCAGGCGCAATATGCTGATTACTTTCTGACACAGCTTCATCAGAAGCATGTGGCATTAAAATAACCGAATATGTTTTTCAGAAAAAAAATTGCAAATTAACATCAAGCATTTTTGTGTTTTATTTAAATAATTTTGGGAAACACTTTGATTCTGGGTGGACAAGAGTTTTGATACCACAGAAATGTATGAGCATGGTACGGATATTCTCTTTGAACAAAAACAAAATCTAAAATGTTTTTCTTAAAATTGTAGGACCAATAATTTGATAATCATAATTAATCATAATAAGTGACATAAGCTTCAAAACGTGATTACACAATGCTCAACATGGCAAACAGTGTTATGTATCTGCCAGAAAGCAAATAACTACTGCACACACAAAAAGTGAAACTACAAAAACTGCAAAAGTGGTTTCATACTGAAGCCATTGTTCCAAATGTAACAATGAATGCAGTGACTAGTTTTCACCTAACTCTCCAGGTGAATGCAATTAACCAGCTGATAAAACAGAAATCCAGCAGTTGGGCCCCAAAGGCAACTGGGCAACAACAACATGTCCATTATCCGCAGTGAACTGTGTCCTGTGGCCCGGGGTGAGCACGCTCATGTAGAAGTAATCAGGATCAAACACACAATTGCAAGCTCTTTACAGACATGTTGTGTTGTATTGTATTATCACTGACTAAAATAAGGACATTGTTGCAAACACTTTTCAATATTTGCTACTTTATAAATACAAATTCAGATGTAATATTGTACTTTCCTCATCTGAAATGAGCTATAATGAGTAGTTGGATTACAGATAAGAAAATCTTTGAAAAATCCATATCACGAGTAATATTTACATTGTTATATAGCCTATTATCGAATAGTATTCCACTGATGTGTCGTATACTTTTACTTGGTAGCATTACTATTATTTGTACAACATTGAGCACTTTTTTCGTGCAATACAAGGTGCTAAATAGTAAATAGTATATTGAGGGACAATACAATGAAAACACAACAAACATAGAAGATGTAATAATAATATTTATTCTGTGGATTAAGGTTTAGAACGTGCTTATGGATATGTTTTTAAGAAGTTAATGATGAGTGCTTCTTGCATCAATTACTATATTTCACATAATGAGTGGCGTTTTCTTTAAACGGATCCACATTCCAGTGGACCTTTAAACGTCACACGGGGGCGGTGCTGCGTTCACTGCCCCTCCCCCAAAACCACGAGGCTCCCGTGTTGACAGGCCCGATCACCGCCCCACAAGCATCGCTCAGTCCGGCTTGACTTGCTCATAACCGGCAGACAAAGCAGCTCGCCTCTCCGACTACAGCACCCACCGGTTAAAACCCTCAGTCTGGAACCAGGACGGTCGTTTTACCCGTCGTTTAAAGCTTTTCTGATCTTAAACCTCACAAAGGATTACCGGCCGTACGGGAATTCCGCCATCCGGTCCCTTTTTTAGCACTGAGCTAACCGAGCAGACCCCGCCTCCTCTTAATTTGTCAACAAAGGGGTTTGACAAGCTCGGAGAAGCCCTGCCCCCATGTTTCCATAAAAGGATGATTTGGCCATACACGGGCAACAATCAAGCCGTGGGTAACCTCTTCCCTTCCCCATCCCGTTCATATGGTGCGTTGACTTCCTCCGTCGCCGTTAAAGCGGAGCTATCATGGCGGAGCGCGTACAGCAGCCCCCGGCCAAGCGGCTCTGCTGTAGACCAGGATACAGTGCAACATGTAGGCAAGGCCAGCGGGCCGCGGGGGCGCCGTGTGGCGGATCTGGAGCCAGCCAGGGCGGCTCGGGCAAGACCCAGAACCCGGAGACCCTGCTGGACATCGCCGCAAGGAAAGTCGCGGAGAAGTGGCCGTTTCAAAGGGTAGAGGAGCGGTTCGAGAGGATCCCGGAGCCCGTTCAGAGACGGATCGTTTACTGGTCTTTCCCGAGGAGCGAACGGGAGATTTGCATGTACTCGTCGTTCAACACTGGCGGGGAAGAGACCGGGAGTAACGGGGAGAGCATCGACGAAACGCGGCTGCCTTTCCGCCGGGGCATCGCTCTGCTGGAGAGCGGCTGCGTGGACAACGTACTGCAAGTCGGTGAGTGATGTCTGGAGATATATCGAGTACAAATGTAATACCATTTTACAAATAACCACCAAGAAAAACAACAGTATCCATTTTACTGAATACATGTGTGAATATCGAGTGAGAAGTAGCCTAGATAAAGTGACGGGTTTGACAACAAAGGGTGAAGCGGTCAGGAGACAGGACAGCCCACAATGGGGCTTTAAATCTGCTGTGTGCATGAATGGGAATGTGTGACAGGGGCATTTAAATCCTGTTTTGCTTGGGGCCAGTTTGAATGTGAAATGTAGGGTAAAAAGCCTCCAAAATCCTCTAATTGCGTTGAAAATCAAGCTGTGGCTTTAACAAAAGAGGAATCTCCACATTTTCACATCTTAACACCGCCAGACTTCACACTTTTAACAGAAAAAGGATTAATAACCATTATCTGCTCACTGCTGATTTTTATTTTTATTATCTGGAGGCGGTCATAAATTAGGCTAATGTGAGATTATACCGTTTCAATGTGTGATACTGAAGTGAGATTGTTGACGCTACTTTGAGGTCAAGTCATGAGCCTGACAGCCTACTATAGCATAAACATCGCCTAAACGTGTTTTATATTTTCCATATCTCTATAATATTTAGAATTAATTGACCCAGTGTTACTTATTAACGCTGATAAGGCATTACAGCCCATTATTCTACATGTAAAACCACTATTTCTGGCTAGCTGTTTCCAATTCGAAAATCCTTGTGCTACAGTGTTAGACTTTATGAAATCATTAAAAAAAAAAAATGTCTTTAAAACTATTGAGTAATAAGGGAAGTGGTGTGGTTGGGTGTTAACTGACACACATTTCATTTGAATGAGCTGTTCTGTGTGTGGCCCAGTTCAGATGCTTGTTTATGCACGTTGTGCCTTTTGTCAGTCTGCATATTTGTTTGATCAGCAGACTCATTGTGCAGCTAATAAAAGTTGGAAAGCAGTCAAATATGCAGTTTCACATGTCTTTGTTATATATTTAGATTGAGTGTGTATAATTGTATTACTGGAATGTTTTAGAGTAACCTTTACATATATTAATGTGCTAACTTTCCTACATGGCAAATATGAGTAAAGACCAGTTACCGTATGTCAGCTTGTTTGAAACCCCCTGAAAGGACTTTTTGAGTGAAACAGGAACAGACACCTGTGTGCTGAACTGACAGCTGCGTGTGCATGACAACATTACTCCACCAGCAACACAAATCAATGTGTCACTTATATTTGATTTTATGTCATTTAAAGTTGTATTTTTCTTACTAGTTTTATGTGCTTAAGCCCTCTTTGAGATTTTAATTACCCGCCAGCACACAGGCTATCAAATGCCCAGCATTCCTATTTGGCACTTTGTTCCTATTTTCATGTTCATTTGTGTCTTTCAAGCTTCCTGTCGCCTCCAAAAGGAAGGCAAACAAAAGCACCTTTCACTCCCTTGTTAAGTAGAAGAGATTTGGAAAGGAGGAAGCGTATAGAGCACAGCGATGCTTTTAAATGGGCCGTGATTCACACCAGTTTGCAGCCAATTGGTTTGGGGTCGTGTCTTTGTGAGGTTCTGTAATCTACGAGAGAGCGCTTTGGCTGCAGCAGACGTGGGGAGGGATAGTTTTCAGTTTGCAGCCTTTATCATTACACGGTCAGCTTGGAGTCTTTGATTGTGTCTGTCACCTGTGAGTTCTCCAGACCCGGGACACCTCCTCAGAGGGCGCGGAGGGCTGTAATCCCATTACTCTGCATGGTTCATTTGAATTGTAATGCAATCTGAACACTTGAGTATCTGCGTGACACGTCCCTCTTCCCCCCCGCTTTTAAATGCATGTGGGCTTTGTGAAGGGCCACAGGGAATACACACTCCCAACACACCAGCCTCTGTCCTGCCAAAATAAGAGGCCCATATATTCCCAGATATTGTGAAATGTTTTTGTTGGGAAGAAACAGAATCTGGGTTGTTTTTCCAGAGAGTGAGGGGGGCTCGATCGGCATGCTCACAAAGAGGAATTGCAGTAGTGCAAGTACACACGTACACACACACACGTACACACACACACACACACACACACACACACACACACACACACACACACACACACACACACACACACACACACACAGGGAGGGTTTCTTTCTTGGCTGATTGCACCCCAGCCTGGAATTTGCTGGAAAAATAGAGGCAAGAAGTGATAAATAAAAGATGTAATCTCCCCACGTGTGGGCTGTACCAGAGGAGGGAGGTTTTTTCTCGCAGCAGACCTTGAGGAAATGAGTTGGCACACATTTACTGTGGACTCCTCATACTCCACAACAAACCCTCACTGCTAATCAGCACAAAGATAGAGGAAGCCATTTTTTCTTGCACGAGCAAATACTGCAGCTTTTAGAGTTCAGACTTGAGGGCTACTTTATTCCCCCGGTTGTAGCCAATATCATAGTTGCTGGTGATTATTATTGAGCCGTGAGGTGAACTACCTGCTCCGAAGAAATAACTGAAGTGGGCAGCTGCTCCAAATACACTCTGGGCTGAAGGCAATTTAATACCGAACAATAATAAAACTGTCTCGAGCTGAAATAAGTGTACTATTTGGACAAGCGGTTAATGGTTTAAGAAAAGATGTCAATATTTGGATGGTTCCAGAGTGAAAGGTTTTGGGAGTATTGGTTGAACGAAAAATCTTATTTTAAGACATCACCTTCGGCTCTCATCGGAGAAGAGAATCCTCAGACGAAACGATAACGAGAATAATCTTTAGTTGCAGCACTAAGTAATTCTGCGCCTATTAACATGTATCAACTGAAAGATCATGTATTTAAGGCACGGGAACAACAATGCAAATGCAGGTTTTGCACTTTCAAGTAAGGCTGCTGGCCAGTTTAGCTATTTTTCACAGCGTGTCATTAATTGCTGCTATGCTTATTATCAGAGATTGCCTTTAAACATTTCATTGAATTTCCAACTGAAAGGAGAAAAGTTGATGCTCTTGCACATAAAATGTAGACCTTTACGGATTAATGCATACGTGAGATTGAAACTGCAGTTTTTTTTTTATGTGCATGCAATCAATTTTGAAAGTGCAGCCAATAAAACATGAGCCTTAGGTCTTCACTTAACACAGCACAGACGGCTTCTTATTGAGACCAATTCAGCATCCTCCATTATCTCTTTTAAAACTCACAGAGGAAGACCGGCTCCTCTGGTGTGAAGTCACTTTGCAGATGAGTTTCATGCAGAGAAGCAGCTGAGAACATGAAAGGCTTTTGTCTAATTCACTTTGCATGCAAAAGCAGAATTGCATCCTGTGTGCACAAAGGGCAATATTCTACATATTTGCTAGATTTATAAACATTAAAAAAAGAGATCTAAAAACAATTATGTAAAATGCGAAAAAGACCCTTTTAATACCTGACGCATTCCCTGTTTGATTTCAGGGCTTGCATGAATATTATACCAGAAGCTTACAATAATTAAGGAATGGTTCCTAGTGAATTCACTGCCTTGTATAACATGAAAGTGTCCTCATCAACGCAAGAGCCTTTATCATTTCAGTATTTGACTCAGAATAAGAGGCCCAGCCTTTTATTCATTAACACTTTTGAATTATTTGACTTTGATTGTGATACAAAAAAGGCAGACCATATCAGGAATAGCTTTATCTTCTACCCTTTTTAAGAACTTGCTCATAGACACCGAGGGTTTCATCGTAAACATGACCTCTGCTCGTACACACAGAGATATTATAGGTTGTAACTGAAGTATAGGTTTCCCTTGCATGTTAAAGTATAGACTGCAGTGTTTATGTGAGCCTGAGCCCAGTTATCTGCACCAGCTTCGTCAAAACAATCTCAAAATAGAAGGTTGAAAAAAGCTGTACTAATCTGTAACTGATGTAAACCATTACATTAACCTAAGGATGGATGGTTTCTTTATTCGTGGGAGAATGTGTGCTGTAAAATGTTGCTTAACTGTGTTACCTGGCTATTAGGTCACATTTAAGCTGCTTGCACTCTGCAGGAGGTCAAGTTCCCTTCAGAGGCTCTTCTCTGTCTGATCTCATGTTAACGTGCTTCCATCTGCAGGTCAAAGGTCATTTAAACATCAATGCTGTGACTGGTATGCAGTGTTGATTGGAAATCCCCACTTCTCTTTCTTCTTCCTATTTCTCTTAGGTTGACATACTCGGTTAGCTTTTTTGTCCAATACACATTTATAAACCCACTTTACCTCTGGAGAAGAGGAAGAAAACCGTCTACTATCCACATTGGAGCATTTTCAGAGCATGATATTGGATTTATCTACCATTATTTATTAATCTAAAACAAAGGTTTTTTAAATGGGACATCTCAGGAAATTCTGCACGTGGTGCTACATGTTGCTGACAAAATTGATCTCTTTTTTTGGAGTCATACTCTGACATATGTCCAATGTCCACCATGTATACAAGTCCATACATTTTCTTAGGAAACATTTTTCTTAACAAAGTAATCCAGTAATAGTTGTTTGTACATCCAAGAGCACACTGCAACTAAGAACTACTGATTGTTGTTTGGCTTAGGCTGCTTTTAATTCTACTAAAATGGAAACAAATAAAACCTAAAGTGGACCTATGCTATATTGGACAAATATATTGTAGGGCCTTACCTATACAAAACATGTCTGTACAGTTTTTTGCTTAAAATACCAAACAGATCACCCATTGTAGCCATCCCTCATACTGCTCATACCCCTCTTTTGCAGCCCTGTTAGAGAAACACGGATTTTGGGTCCAAAGGAGGCGGAGCTAATGCCTGATCAGAATTCTACCGGAGATAAAGTTAAATTCTGCTGTGATAAAACGCCATCCTGTTCTAAACCACATCAAGGATTATTTCTGACACAGTATGGAGCTCAAATGCTTTTTCTTTTGCAGGTTTTTATTTCCTGCTTTTTAAAAACACATGCTCTCCAGTACAGGTTAGCGCTGAGTGTTAGCGAGGCTTGCTAATGTAAACAAAGACG